ACCTGAAATGTTTGAATCACTATACTATTAAGCTACTGAACATGTAAATAAAGGAAATAGAAAAATGCATGACACCCACAAAAAGACCTCAAAACCTCAATTCATGAGGATGAAACAATTAACATTTCAGACATTCATTGTCACTCAAATTTTTCAACATCCTGGCTTACCTTTTGTCTTTTTCTGGACGTGAAGTTTTTCCAGACCAAGAGATACAGCTGCATCAGGAACCCCATATTCAACTCTTTCCTTCCTGAGTTACCACAATTCAACTATCACTCCGCTATACGCCAGTACGTCTCGGCAACTAGCAAGAAACAATATGTCCTTCAAAACGACCTTTCACACTAATCTCTTATCTCCCATTGGAGTACTGCAAGGAAAGAAAGAGAGAGAGAGAGGGGAAAAAATTTCAAAAATATGAAAATTGTTGGTTTAAAGAATCAATGTCCTGATCCCTCGATTAATATGAAATTTACTGTTGGGCTCTAAAACTAATTACTTAGCAGAATTTGAATCATTGTTCTACTGCAATGCTGCCGTATTGTACATACTATAATACTGCTGTATTGCTGCCGTATTGTTCATATACTTTTCTATTAGAAAAAAAGTGAAGAGCTCCAGCTCTCGAACCCCCTCATTCAACAATTAACCCCTGCTTCATTTTACCCTAACCCTAACCCTAACTCGAACCCTAATCCTAAACCTAAACCTAACCCTTAAACCTGTAAAAACTGATCATTTTCGCAGCAAGGCTGAGTTGTGTCGAGGTCGGAGCTAGCCCAACCCCCTTCCAATGATCATTCTCCCATTAAACATTGTTTTTTTAAATACCACTACAAAGTAATTCAAAATCATGTTTAAGGAATTGATTCAAAATAATTCTATTGAGAAGTCAATTTATTTGAGTAGATCTAGATTTAAGAAGAGTGCCATGCATGTATCAACCAACTCCTCTGATTTAAACAAAAATAATTGTGGACATCATTGGAAAGACAAGATAGAATTCAATTATCTCAATTCTAATTTGTCTTCTTCTAAAGAAGCAAAAAATTTAATTCATCAAAATGATTCAAAATTTAAATGATCATGATTCAATATTTTAATAACAAAATCTTAAAAAGTTTAATTTTAATTTTTGTTCGAGTAATAAGTACGACACTTGAATTTGAAACATGCAGGCTACCTTATAAATAAACTGAGTTCAGCCTTCGCCATGTAAGTACAGAGGCAAGGGCAAAAATATGTTTATGAAACAAGCTGACTGCTCCGTTTTGCTTTCTACTAGTACTACATAGACCACCGCAGAGTTTCGGGGTGAAGGGTACCTGGCAATGGCACACGGTATCGCTCGAATTACACGTGAACCTCTGCTCGCTGTTGCGTGGCATGACAGAGCACAATCCTCCTCATCGCTCCACACATGCAAAGTACAGATAGCAACTCGCTCTCGCCAAATAAATAGACATCATTAAAAAAGGACCAGGAAACTGATATCTTACCTGAAAAAACATGAAGGAATACGATGATTTTCAAGCGAAACATCACAAGAACTTCCGTGTTATCATCTCTTACTCCCGAGTTGTTGTTTTTCGTTTTCCTCTATTTCACGAACAATGGATCATGCCTGCATACAAGTCGTGTTGCGTAAGCTACCAAAATATCTCAGAGATAAAAACCGCGACCGGCTGATTGATGTAAACATTACAACTCAGGAGACAAGAGATGGCGATATACTAGTACCGTATGTTACTTTTGCAGAGCTAGTAGTATTTTGAGAGTCACGGTTCACATATTTCTATATTTTAAAACTATATATCTCAATGGTCAGAGAATACATCCGTGAATGAAAGTTATTTCCCCCTTCCCGACAAACCATAACATAATGAGCGGGGGGAGGTGTAGCGGGGGTGTAGCCCCCCCCCCCCCAGTTCTCGATCTTCTCCCTGTTCTTTTTCTTTATCTTCTTATTTTCCTTCTTCTTCTTCTTCTTCTTCTTCTTCTTCTTCTTCTTCTTCTTCTTCTTCTTCTTCTTCTACTTCTTCTTCTTCTACTTCTTCTACTTCTTCTTCTTCTACTTCTTCTATCTTCTCCTCCTTCTTCTTCTTCATTTTCAAGAGCTTCCCTTTTTAAATATCGAGCGGAGTATGATATAGCTTCAATAAATTAGGTAAACATTGTATTGTCACCACCACCTTCGTTTTATTTTTCACATCACCTAGCTAGTTAGGCTTTTTAGCTTCAAGTAGCTTTCAACGCCAATATTTGACATTGATTAATGACCCCTTCCCCATCAGTCACTATTATCAACGATTATTGACCCGTGCAAACAAAACTGTATTTGAACAAGAACTACAACCGTAGTTTTCAGGTGAAAATTGTGATGTCTATGCTAATGGTATATAAGGTTTTGTTTCTTCAGAGAAAGTTGACGTTGTTGAGAATTTGTATGCATTTTTCTTGGAGATTCACAATCAAGTAAACAAAATAATTAATTAGTAAAATCCAATCAAGATAGTAACACAAATTATTTAATCGCAAACCTTTGAAAGAAACAATATAGTAGGTATATTTGGTATTGATGCTAAGTTCATTTTGTGACAGTTAGTTTTGTTATTAAACCCAAAATCATAAAATAATCAAACCAATTATGTTAAATCCATCGATAAGTATTTCCAGGGGCGACAACCCCATACCTTTAAAGGTACTATGTCCCTTTTGCAGCCAACCTCAAACTCGGTAGAACTTTACAGGAATTATGAATATGTCATGTATGTCCTATCTGTGAAATTTAAAGGTTAGCAGTGTCCTAATATTCAAATTATGCAAGGAAACCCGTTTACCTGCTAGGCCTCACTGTCAGACACTATTGAGTGGCTGACTGGCTTTTTTTCTTCTTGGTCAACATACATAAAATGAGCTGTAAAGGGTACATGAGCATTTGTCTACATCAATAACCCATTCTTGTGATGGCCAAAATTAAACTGATTGAATCTTTGCGTAGCATAAAACGTATGACCATTCGGTACAATGGTCTGAAAATCAAGACTATTACTTATTGGCTCTATAGCTTCTAAGTCGATTTGACAACTAATAGTCGTTATTTTCCCACTTGAAGACATTTTCAAGCTCCACCTTTTTTTAGGGAAGTTCTAAATTAGTATTATCTTTTTCATTTTTTGGCCTGCAAATGGGACATAGTACCTTTAAAGAACATTAACAACATATTCTTTCACCATATATATTAGTATTCCCCTCAATAAAATAAATATCAAGTATCTGTGTAAGGCTAAAATATTTTTAGATAATACAACTATTATTCTTCATTATAATTAAGTCGTAAGTTACTGCATGTATATATTGAAAAATAGGTTTTTCCTGAATCTTTGCCTCTTTAAATTCTAAGGAATTGCTCGGAGCGTTGTGATAGTAGATAAAGTTCGCCAATAAAAGGGAAACGATAATACCTACAGTTCTGTCGTTGACACGAAGAATCAGAACACGCAGTGCACCATTATCCCTTAAACAAACCTGAGGGGGAAATCTTTCTTTTCTAAAATGTTAAGTGCATACTTATCCTTGTCCAGTCCAAACATTGGCAGACCCGTTTTCACAGAATACACTGAACAAGAATCCCTTCTTCTGCAGAAGGTATGGGTTGCATATTTGCAGGAATATTCAAAAGGGTCTACGTTTATTTTCACGGGGCAAGCGCGTAGCTAGGATTTTTTTTAAGGGGCGGTAGTGAGCACGCTCCCTAAGGGGTGGGTGCAGGGCAGGAGAACCTTTGACGTTCCATTAAATTATTAAAGAAAGAAAACGATTCGTTGTACCATTCTCGACTCTCATAAATCCTTGTCTTTTTGAATTGTTCAAAAACGTTTCTTTGTCAGCTCATTTTATCCCTACGTCCATTAACTTTTTTCTCTCCTCTCTCTCTCTCTCTCTCTCTCTTCTTTTTTTTGGCCGGCGTTGTTGTTGTTGTTGTTTGTTTTTTTTTGGGGGGGGGGGGGCGGTGGGGACGGTCGCCCCCTCCCCCTGGGTACGCTCATGTCACGGGGGAATATTTTTTGCAATCTAACAAGAACCCACTATTATTATTATTGTTATTATTATTATTATGTATGTATAAAGTCTGTGTACATTATTTGAAATATCAACAAAATTTCCTCAAATGTATAATTAAACCGGGACATGTTTAATCTTTAATTCAGCATCTGTTTTCTGAAGCCACTGAATGTCACAATGTAAACTTATCCTATGAACCTATTTGAGTTTGGGAAACATGTTGTGAAGCCGGGTCTTCGCAGACGAGCGAAGCCGTTCCAAAATGCTAAGCTTGTTTTTCGCGCTTTTCAGATGTTCATTGCCCAACGAAACTTGATCTGTATACATGAGCAGTTGCTCTTGAAACGGCGTATCAGGGAAGACACTCAATAGGTGAATGGAATTTGTTGGTGTGATATGAGTTTGTGGACGCCTCCGTCCATGAGAACCCAAACATTCGTTTCGACGAAGAGAGATCAGTTAACATAATTGTGATCGCCTATTAGCGAGGTATTAAGTGAAAATTAACGACGTCGGTTTCCACGATCATTTTTATTCACTCTCTTTCTTTGCTACGGTCGCCACAAGCCTCATCTATTTTATTACTCTGACAATTTTGCAATTGAACTTATAAAGATACGAAGAGAATGTTGCCTGAAACACTTTTTCATTTCAAAAGAAAATTAAGACTTGAAAAGGAATATAATCATCATTGAAGATTTTGGATTGAGTTTCTTAATTGTGATAGCATGATTATTAGCCTGCGGGATCTGTAACCTCCGACTCTACAACATTATCCGGTTGCTATAACAACTAATTGTACCGTTCCCTTCAAAGTACGCCTGGATAGCTGCCCTCATGTTTTGAATCTTACATCGTTTATTAAAGGATTTTACAGGATGAGCACCCGTACAAGAAAGTCACCGAGTGCGTCGTCCAGTTCGTCACGAATGATGTCTGCTGGGGGTAGAAAAAAGGCTCCGCAATCGACCACAAAGTCATCGACCGCGTCGACAACGAAAGGCAGCATGCCACAGCGGAAGGTATCACGAACCAACGACCAAGTCGCACCAACGACCGCTAGAAAGATAAGCGTAGCTTCCAATGCGTCATCGCACTCAAGAAAGATGTCCGCCGCTGCGGGGGTCAACCACGGATCCGCGGCGTCTACTAAAAAGAAGCCCGGCGAAGGCGGAGAAGACATGATGAATTTGAAACAAAGTTTTCAGAGTTTGATGATCGCCAAGCGCATGGCGAGATCGCTTCGTCAGCGGACGTCTCAACGACTCGCTGATCGACGAGGAGTCAGCTTCGTGTCGTACATGGATCGTCCTCGCCGTCGATCACCAAGCGCGAAGCACCTCCCACAGATCGAAAACACGTACCAGCTCGAGCCTCGAGAGCTGTTCTCGAGCTATGTCCGCGTCATTCGTGACATCATAGAAAGCACGGTCGAGTCTCGACTCACCGGGATGAAGTACGATCCGAAGCTGTGTTCGAAGGAGGTGGAGGAGCTGTCAGAGATCATCAAGGAACGTGTGAAGACCCTCGACATCGATCGGTACAAGCTGATTACCCTGGTACACATTGGTAAGATGCACGACCAGGGGCTGCAGGTTTGTAGCAGGAATTCGTGGGACCCAGCCAGGGATTCGTTTGTGAGTTACCGCTTCCAAAATGCATCCGTCTTCTGCGTGGCAACGATTTACGGTGTCTACTTCGAATGAGATCCAAACACAATTTAGTCCTACTTTTAGCATTGATGTTGGGATTGATTATCGCTTTAAGCATATGAAAATTATTTAAAATCTTATTTGATAGACTTACAAAGAACAAAAGAAGCACTTCAAAGATTGAACCTGTTTTGTAACGGTTTAATATATATCAAAGCAAAAGAGAGACCTTAGGAAGAACATTGTACCAGTGAAATTCGAACTTTGGATGGTGGAAATTTTCGTCGATTTTGAATGTGATTAATCTCTTGCCATAACTAAGGATTATCCAATTTTTAATTGCATAATTCACATTCTTTAACGTTTAATATTGCAACTGTTTTGTTCTTTCTAATGAGCACGAAACCATTTAATGGTTTATCAACTTGATGTGAATGATCGCAGCCATTCAGTTTTATGTAACCCCTATAGTAATAGAAGCACATCATGTTTAATTTTCTAATGTAGATATTTTTTCTTCTTGAAAACTCTGAGCACAATGTTCAACAGATTACGAATCTAAGTTATGTGTATCCTCAATATCCAATTATGTTTTTTAGGCCTAGACCTAATCCATTTTAAAAGGGAGAAGAATCGCAGGGGAAGAGAAAAGCATCATTGTTCACTGATTTATCAACTGAAATGTACCATATTATGACGAAAATGATTTCCGAGCGTATCAATATAGCGTTTATGGGCTTTGATTTCAATGCTCCACAATTTCTAAATACGAATTTGATGAGGAAAACACTCGCTTACATAGATAATCGCTTAGAAGAGTATAATTAAATTGTATGATTTACTTGGATCGATAACAAACAAATAAATAAGCAACAGCAAATGCATGATTGTTTTTTCCCTTTTAAAATTTAGTTAATATATATTGTTCTTATCAGGGGAGTAATTACTGTTATTTAGAGCACTTATCCTTGGACATGGTATTGTATGGTGTATAATGATAACACACCAGGCGAGTTGACGGATACTGTATTCTGAACGTAATTGCTTCATGTTGCTTAGCGACGTAACCAAGGCCTGGTAGGAATTCTTCTTCATAGAACACGAATTACTGATGGTTATCAGCCCGACATGTCAAAGTATGACATAATGTCATTGTATAAATACATTTAAGAATATGACAACAAAACAATGACATGGATGGTCCTTGATATTTGTTATTATGTCAGGAGGCAAATATTTATTCTCCTTCACCATGTTCATTATTAGGAATAGAGTAGAGCATTGTGTTCTACTTTGAATAGGAGTAATCTCGGGGTAAAGAAAGATCCCCTATTAAAGTTCGTTTTTAATACTTTGTGCACATTGAGAATGCAACTTGTTCTCTCTAATTTTTCTCGCTAACTCTCCCATCTCTGTACCCCCCATCTCTCCATCTCCCCCTCTATCTCTCTCACTCTCTCTAAATTACACACACAGAGCCCTCTCTGCTCTCCTCCATCTCACTCTCCCCCTGTCTTTCCCTTTACCTTTTCACTTAGTCTCTCACACTATTCTCTCATTAGTTTTCTTTCGTTCATCTTCCGTTTTCCTTCCTCTCCTTCTCCTCTCTCTCTGTCTATTTCTCTTTCTGTCAATCTCTTTCTCCCTCTCCCCTTCACCCCTCCTCCTCCCCTCTCTGTCTCTCACTCATTCTTCCCCTTCCCACTATCTCAATCTATGCCTCCCACTCATTTTCATACACTATTTCTCACTGCCTAGCTCTGCCTCGTCTCTTTGATCACTGCTTTTAATAACGTTCGGTAGATTTCTCGAGATATAGGAATGAAGAAGTAAGGGAATGAAAGATTTTGAAGGTATAACAGATGAGTTAAAATTGTGTACCATTTGTTTTTGTTGTTTTTTGCTGGTGTAAAGATCACCATTTAGAACCATATTATTTTAATTACAATGTAGTTCGTTTTACCCAAGTAGAAAGCAACATGAAGGAAATCGTGGTTTTAATTAAATTCAAAATCGATGTCTTCGGTAAACTTGATGTTATTGGATCAAACATCAAACATAATTTGCCTATAATAAAGAAGATACGAAAAGGTGTAAAATTTACAAGTTTATTTTATTAATCCAAACAGTTTTCACCTATATGACAACAGACGACATTGCAACAAGCATGTTCCGTCACAACATTTTAAATAGATAAAACGGTTGATGAAACAGAGCATTCAGTCGCCAGTGTTTAAATTTAAAGGTGGGTGGGGGGGGGGGGGGGGGGAGATGGGTGGTTATCGCCCACTCCAATGACGAGTTACTTATTAAAACTACTATGTATGATAGCACCTATGCATGGAATCCTACTTACATATATTATTTATATCGGGACAATCATGGCAACCTTTTAAAAACTTCCAAGACAACGGTTAGTTGAATAAATGTGCATAAACAAATCACGGTCTTTTTATGATCAATGTTGAATGAAATATTACAATAAAAAATTAACAGACTATGAGAAATGACGATAGAATACCTTGTAGATGAATCAAATCATGAGTGAAATTATTTTACTATACAATGTATGTAAATAACAGATTTGAAAAAAGAGTTCAAGTACCTACATGTATACTGAATTGCAAATGAAATTTGAGTATTCAGTGTAAATAAGCAGATAAAAAAAAATCAATCTCAGACTTAAGAGAGAATTGGAGAAGGAAGTTAACGAAGGGAGAAAAGCATATTGACTGAATGACGAAATGAAAGGAAGAATACAAAATAATGAGGGATTCAAGGGAGAGAAGAGTAAGTAGAACAAGATATATAATTAGAAGGAGAAAAGGGGAGTCAAAGGGTGAGAGGAGAGAGAGAGAGAGAGAGAGAGAGAGAGAGAGAGAGAGAGAGAGAGAGAGAGAGAGAGAGAAAGAGAGAGAGAGAGAGAGAGAGAGAGAGAAAGAGATAGAGAGAGAGAGAGAGAGAGAGAGAGAGAGAGAGAGAGTGGTAATTGCATAGTAAACATGGTGAGTTAATTGTGATATGTGTAATCATGTCGAACGTTTAGTGAGTATAGTTTTAATAAATATAATGGACATCATTGCATGCATTAGTTTTCAGTAAAATGAATAAAAAATACTGTTTGTTAATTACCCAAACTTGCAATCAAACAAGTGCTTTTGTTCGTCGATTAACATTCAAATATATTCCTTTTCAATTAAATCAATAATAAACATTTTTAAAGATAAATGAAGACAATATACACCTTTTTCTTGAGAAAGTCATGTTCCTCGTGATTCTTTTTGAACCTCCTACTTTGAAAATAAAATATTGCTACATGAATTAAGAATAACAAACAAACAAACCGATACATCGAATATAAAACCTCTCAAAAATAATTTCAGAATGAATAACAAAGGAATAGAGACCAAAAGGAAAAGAAAAAATGTTTAAAAAGAGATCATCATTTAGAACACACATGAATATGATAATCATAGAAAGACGGACGGACTGTTATACAGAGACTGTAAACAATGAAACAAACACCCACATCCATACCGACTTACTGAGAGAGAGAGAGAGAGAGAGAGAGAGAGAGAGAGAGAGAGAGAGAGAGAGAGAGAGGGGGGGAAGAAATAGAGAGAGAGAAATAGAGAGTGAGATAGAGAGAGAGAGCGAGAGAGAGAGATAGAGCGAAAGACATACATTCATGTGTGACAATGGTGATCTTGAGGGGGGGGGGGGGGCAAAGTCAACGAGTCACATCATCAGCTAACTCTAAATAATTAGTTACAAATTAAAATACGATTTTAAAATTATTTATTCTACTTTAAAATCCCAAATACGTTCATTTATCGAGTTTATTTTGCTTATACTCTCGACATTGTATAGAGGAAACCTTTGCACCATACATGAAATTCTGTTTAGCTTCTACATGCAGCAAGTCAGTATTATGAAGAGAAAGCCTTTATGACATTATTCAGTTTTACCACAAACCCACACCTCTGTAGTGCAGTACATGTATACATTTGAATAATAAATATATATAATATATACATATAACTATTTATATCAGTCATCAACGATCTTGCAATAGATAAGTTCTGACAAAATCTTCGGGAACGAAGCTCAGCTACACGGTCTAAGACACAAAAACGCGCATACACGCATACCCCCCCACACACACACACCGCACACGCGCGCACACATACCTGCACGCACACCCTCATTTCCACACAAACGAATATATGATATATCATACATGCTTGTACCCTTAGAATGATTTATATTACACAATATTTTGTATTCAATAGAGGATGCATTCATTACTTTATAATGGTTACAAAGGTGTTACAACGCTTTTACAAATTATACGTTTTGATCGACAAAGCAGTTGCTCATTGATTTAGTAGTCTCTCCGTAAACTATCGCCGACAAAAGACGGGTTGTGGAAGGTCGCGGGGCCATTCTGAATTAAAAAAGGAACAAATATGTTATGAGTGTAATTATGCTTTCGTTTAGATAAATGGTAGAAAAAGACATACCAACATTCGATTATTCACTTTAAGTCAATGTTTCTGTGCACATGACTCTCTAAAAAAAAGTCGAGTGATTACGGAAGTCACTCCTCTGGAGAGTGAAAATGTAGTGAAAATAGAGTGAACATTCAATCTTTTCTTCTTAGAGAGCACTCGAAAATCAATCGATATTCACTCCTAAACAAGTGATCCCTGACGTAACTCCTAAGAAAGTAAAAATAGAGTGTAAATTCACATTTTTAGAGAGAGAGAGAGAGATGGGGTAAATGCACTTTGAGGGTGTCAAGAAAATTTGCATTTTTAATCTGATAGAAAAAGAAGCATCTTATTGACTTACAGGAAAAAAACCTCAAAGTTATTAAAAAAATGTTGTTTAAATCGTCATATTTTTTAACTTACTTCTCTAAAAAGGTGCTAATTAACGCTCCAGTAGAGTCAATTAAATAGAATTCTGCAAGGACTTTTGATCTTACTCAGGTATGAATCTAGTAACATTTTACTTTCTAGCTTATAATTAGCAAGCATGTCTTGAATTATTAAGAGGCAGAACAAGATTCTGTTAAAATGAATATCGTTCATGGTTGATTAGGTAAAGATAAGTAATCGTACTGGTTATCTCGGGCAGGACTCATACCACAACACCATACCACTAATCTAGTTAAAAGCTCAACATAATTACCTGCCCTACTCAAGATATGGTCAACCATGGAAAAAGAATAAAACGAAGAAGAAGAAGAACAGCAGCAACAACAAAAACAACAACAAGAATAACAATAGACACTGCTTGGAATGGACCAAAATTAAATGCTGCCTTCACACAAATGAACACGACAACTCACTTGTGCAGCAAGGCTCCCATTACATGCCCGTAGTCTCGGCAATCTGATCAAGGAGAGAGGCGACGAACGCTTTGGACTGGAGGATTTCTTCGGCAGGTTGTTTGGGTCATCTTGGGGGCGTTCTTCAAAACACGCCAGTACAGCAAATACCTTTAAAATGTTAAGAGAATAATAAGTAATAATGTTGGAATATCAATATTTACAGCTTATAGGCAAGGCTAAAGGGGAAATTGGTGTCAACATGGAAATGGGGTAAGCAACGTCTTCAACGTTATTCTTAATTCGGCGATTATTCTTAAAAAGACATGCGATTGATACTATGGATGCTTTTCTAGGTAACTGTTTAGGTTTCGTTGTAACTTCCACAGATGTAATAACATAACAATCAGATTAAAATTTAATTTTGCTCTAACAAATTCTTTTAGAGCCATTTCTACTCAGAGTTTGGTTAACTGGGTTACGGTACGTCGCAATATGCTGCATATTTATGAGCTTGCTAGGCAAACCTGAATGAGCCATTAAACTACTTTTGAAAAATCAACTCAATATCAATTTCACTACCCTATTGTTTATACCTTAGAAATCATGTTCGGATTACGTAATGCGTTATTGTCATGTTCGCACATGTTAATAGGTGACGTACAAGGTTATGCAAATTGCCTTACGATGACTTTCCGAAATTACTTTCGATCGCGTTCATTATGCTATCCACAGAAACTTTGTTAGCCAAACTCTGTGTATAAATGGCTCTGGTTGCTCACCAAGTACAGTGTCACCACCATGCCCAGCAGGAAACCCACTGCGACATCACTCCAGTGATGCCGATACTTCGAGGCTCTTGTGATTCCCCATAGGAGTCCTCCCGACAGGAGACCCAAACTCGCCAGTGGAATGGGGAGCCTCGTACAGGGGATGCTCACTTGACTTGTCATGTAGGCCTGAGGATACCAAGTTTTAAGTTCAAGTTCATTTTATTCAAAACCATGAGATAATCTTTTACCAAAAAAAAGAGACTGATAAAAGTACATTAATCAACATACAATTTGATTACATCACAAAATGAATAGTTTTTGGACCCCTTTAGAAGCTAAGCTTGTGAGCGTGGCCCTATAGTTAACAAAATACAAACATTAACAATATGGCAAGGTAAACAAAATTAATGCAACGTATTTACACGGAATAAATTATAAATTGAGTGATAAAGAGACATGTAGTGACATTATAATTATGTAAATTGTCGTTCGTTAGTAGCAGGTCTACCCCTCTCATTTTCACGATCTTATGGATTCACTTTTGGATATGTAGAAGAGGGAAAGTAAATAACTAAACGGAAAGGAAGCAAGGATGGGCATGATGGGTAAGAGCGTAGAACACGGTGCATGACAAGGAAAGAGTTATATTGTATATTGACTGAAATAATTTGTTCAGATGACTTCTACTGTATGTATTTTAAACGAATCATTTTTTATATGTTTAATCTATCTCATGCATGCAGTACTTTTTATATTCGTGTTCATGTAACGGATGATTGATAAATTTGAATTTAATTGATTTCAATTAATAAGGATTATATCGAAAAGAATTTCACAAAAAAACTTGAGTACATAGGGAATCGATAATTGAATAAATCCCTTAGTAGGAGATCGAATTGCAATCATTTTCTCGGTTTTATTAATGAAAAATTACTATACATTCTTTAGGATCAATATTACTTTTGCGGTATTACGAAAAGGTGGTGTTGCTCTTTAACATGAAGCTACCAACATAAGTGATTGTCTTACCATGGTGAAGACTGCAGCATATGAACCTAGAGATGCATGTAGCGAAGGAAATGATAGCCTGAGGAGAGAGAGGAGGAAAAAGAGATGAGAATTCCTCATGCAACTTAATTAGATCTTAACGAGGGCTGTTATCATGTCACCATAACAGGTATCCCTGCCAGCATATTTCTCTGCTGACGTAGGCTATATGAATTTTCTTTGTGTGTTGATGATATTTTTTGTCCCGCTCTGCCTTATTGAGAGCACGAGACCTATAAAATAGTATATCTTTATTTTAAAAGTAATTTATGCTTTACGTCCAGCGTCATCATCACCTTGGCAGAATGCGGATAATTATGATGTTATTTTCGTATATGTATTTATAGGTATAGTTCTAATTCTAAAGCCTAGCAAAGTAAGACAAGTCGATACATCAACAGCTATAAAGTTTAATAATGATCAAAGGTGGTCCGGAGAACAGAACATGGAGATGGAAAAGAAGAAAATATCGACAAAAAAAAAAATGAAAAGAAGATGAAAGGATACAAGAGAAAAGCGTTGAAAAATCCCCCCAAATCAATCATGAAATAAATAGAAAATCACATGGCATGAGAAAAAATGAAAAAGACGAAGAAGCAGAAAAAAAGGAAAATGAAAACGAAGAAGATTGTGAAGGGCGGGAGCAAGATGAAGGAGAAGGAGAATAAGACTTAGTGGATGAAGAAAGAATGAACAAACAAATAGATCATCATCCTTACCTAGCTTGTTCCAGGAGATCATCATCCCGTTTTACACACTCATAATCGGTGATGAATGTGTTGCAATCGAGAGCTGTATAGTTTGGTCGACACACGGTCAAGAAGTATGGCGTCTGTATTCCTGTAACTCTCTGTGCAGCATCGGTGATGATCCACGTGGCAAAGGCTCCGCAAGCAAAGACACCTGTCAATTAAATGAAATGAAATGAAAATATAAACAAATTAAAAAAAATCCATAACTCAATCGAAACATGAAAGAAATGCTTACATAAAATGAATATCAAATGGCGATAGCAATATACAGTTACATACACTGGCGTACTGGTGGGGGTGCTTGGGGGGGCTTCAGCCCCCCCAAATAAAATTGAACCACGACTTTTTTTCACAAGTGATGTATATGTTCGTGATATCACATGATTTTCAACAAAATGCTAGTTTTTCCATTAATTCTTGCAAACTGACCCATTCCCCAAAAAAGCCAGGAAGAGCTTATGTTTTTATTGTCACTAAGGGCCTTATAGTGGCCACCAACAGTAACACTGGTAAAAAAATCCTTTCCAGAAGCTTTGTGCAAAGCACTGCCGGGAGATAACATATGCTACCTACCACTCGGGCTGAGCGTGCACAGATTTGCGAACGAGCGTTCCATACTTACATCATGTAACACTGCACATATAGTGGGGGAAATTGAATTCAGACAAACGGTACAACGAATCGTCTTCCGCGCTTTGCACGGGAGGGGGGGGGGGGGAATTGAATTCAGACTAGGATTAAGACTCGAGAACGGTTTTGATGAAACGCGAAAATGATTTCAGACAAGGATTAAGAGTAATAATTAAATAAAACGACAAAGCTTCCGCGCTTCGCGTGGGAGGGAAAACTGAATTCAGACAAATACACGATAAAATGAATCGTCTTCTTTCTCTATAAATTTAATGAAACGTGATAGCTTCCGCGCTTCGCGCAGGATGGGCGAAAATGAATTCAGACAAGGGTTAAGAGTAATAATTTATTGAAAGACAAAGTTTCCGCATTTCGCGCGGGAGGGGGACTGATTTCAGACAAGGATTAAGAGTCGAGACCGGTACAACGGATCGTCTTCTTGCTCTAATAATTAAATGAAACGTGAAAGCTTCAGCGCTTCGCGCGGGATGGACGAAAATGAATTCAGACAAGGATTAAGAGTAATAATTTATTGAAACGTCAAAGCTTATGCGCTTCGCGCGGGAGGGGGGGGGGGGAAACTGAATTCAGACAAGGATTAAGAGTCGGGGTTGGAACAATGAATCGTCTTCTTTCTCTAATTATTAAATGAAACGTCATAGCTTCCACGCTTTGCGCAGGAGGGGCGAACCAAGAATTAAGAGTCAAGAACGGTACAACGGATCGTCTTCTATCTCTAATAATATAATGAAGTGTCAAAGCTTCCGCGCTTTGCGCGGGAGGGGGGGGGGGGGAACTAAAAAAATTAATTAGTTCCTGGCCCCGGGTTTATGGGGTTAGAATTGTAGGCATTTGGACATTGGCATTTTTATATTTGTTGGTAATTGGTGGCTCGTTTTGTCGGTAATCGGTGGCCTCTACACCCTTCCCCCCTCCCCCACTGAAAAAGATCTAGCCGCGCCCCCGATAACGACACAGTTTATACACTCGAGATAATTTTTGCAAGTACTACAGTCAAGTACCGGCATCAAAGCATAATCTATACAACGTCTCACGACGTGTCAGATCACTTTTCTCTAACTTCTAACGAATCCCCTCCCGCGCAAAGCGCGGAAGCTTTGCCGTTTCATTAAATTATTAAAGAAAGAAGACGATTCGTTGTACCGGTCTCTACTCTTAATCTTGTCTGAATTCAAGAAGGCCTCTTTTTTTCCAGGAAGTGCCGGTGGACATTAATGCGCCAAATGTGGTTCTCAAATTGCAAAAGATCCCTACTCTTGGAAGGGGTAGGAGAAAGCAATTTTACGTCATATTATATTACTCCAGGAAGCAAGGGCGTCGCCAAGGGGGGGGGGGGGGGGGGGGGAGGGGGTGCGACACCCCCCCCCCACCTGTCAGGATATTGTCGGTAAAATTGCGCTGCCGTCGGAAAAAAGAGAAAAGGGGGAGGGGAAAAAAAAGAGGGAAAAAAAAAGAGGGGGAAAAAAGAGAGGGAAAGGGGAAAGAAAAGAAGAAAAAAAAGGAAAAGAAAAGAAAGAAAGGAAAAGAAAGGAAAGAAAAGAGAAGAAAGAAAGAGAAAAAAGAAAAAGAGGGAGGAGAGGACAGAAAGGAAAAGAAAGAAAAAAGAAGAAAAAAGAGTGAAAGGGAAACAAACGAAACGGGAGATGAAAGAGAGGAGAGAGAAGGGAGGTAAGAGTCTGAGAGAGGAGGAGTGGGAGTAAAAGAGAGAAGGGAGTTGTTGGGTGGAGTCGTCTCGTCGAGGGAGCAAGAAAGAAACGGGTAAATATGTTGCTGTGTTGGGTCAGCTGTGTCGGTATTCTTGATCGATCCTCGTGTACTATATCAATGCAGAAGTTTGAAGTCGGTGAGATGTATATTGTCGGTCGGCCGACAAGTTTTTTTCCCTACGAACTGTGTCTTCTTATCCGCTGTGACGACTTCGAGAGTGACTACAACTACAATACTTGTTTTTTCTCGAAGTTTCACTTTTCTATAATATCAGCTAAAGAAATCAGAGGTTTAAAATTTTCGGGAAAACTAATTTCAAACAAGGTTTAAGAGTCAACAACGGTACGACGAACCGTCTTCCTTTCTATATATTGTGATGAAACGCCAAAAATTCCGTGCTTCGCGCGGAAGGGAAACTTCATTTAGTCGAGTCGAGAACGGTACAACGAATCGTCTTCTTTCTCTAATAATTTAAGGAAACGTCAAAGCTTCCGCGCTTCGCGCGAGAGGGAAAACTGAGTTCAGACAAAATTAATAGGGCTTATTTATGGTCGAAAACGGTACAACGAATCGTGTTCTTTCTCTAATGATATGAGGAAACGTCAAAGCTTTCGCACTTTGCGCGAGAGGGGGGAAACTGAATACAGAAGAATAGGGCTTATTAAGAGTCGAAAACGGTACGACGAATCGTCTTCTTTCTCTAATAATTTTAATGAAACGTCAAAACTTCCGCGCTTCGCGCGGGAGGGGGAAGCTTCATTTAGATAAGGATTAAGAGTCGAGAACAGTACACCAAATCATCTGCTTTTTCTCATAATTTAATGAAACGTGAAAGAGGGGGGTGGGGGATGGGAGGGGGTGGGGGAACTTCATTCAGCCAAGGATTACTAGTCGAAAACGGTACAATTAATCGTCTTCTTTTCCTTATAATTAAAGGAAACGTCTAAGCTTCCGCGATTCGCGCAGGAGGCCCATCACCCACACCCCCTAATGAGCGCGCTTTTAAGTGATTCTCTTGCTCACTACCGCCCCTCCCTAAAATAAGATCCTAGCTCCGCGCCTGCATTAAAATATATAGCTATGATGCTGACTAAATTGAAGAAATAATACGTATATTTATGTCTTCGAGGAAAATGACCATTTCGCGCATATGCAAGTAGGCCTACTATAGATAGTCCATATGAATTTTTTTTTAGCTTCGGCCCCGGGTTTATAGGGTTATTTGTAGATATTGAACATTTAATTTTGTCGGTAATTGGTGGCTAGTTTTGTCGGTAATCGGTGGCCTCTACACCCCCCCCCCCCACTAAAAAAGGTCTAGCGACGCCCCTGCCAGGAAGTGCCTGAAAATACGTCTAATTTGGTTTTAAAATTGCAAACGCTTCTTACTCTGGGAGGGGGCCAGAACCCCCTCCCAGACCCACCCCCTGCTCGGTCACTCCACTCCCTCGCCGTTAAAGCCTCGTTCTGTCGCTTCATCGTTTTACATTTCAACCCTTGCCATTTTGTGCCCCCCCCCCGTAAGAAATTCCTGGATCCGCCACTGATGCCCATACCCCTTGAGCTTAGGGGCTCCGCCCCTTGACCCCCGCCGGGCTTTGCCACTAGACCCACTTTCGAGAAACGTTCAGCAGGGACTGCATGTTAGAGTGGGGGTGATTTGGATTTTTTTTGTCAGCCCCCCAAACGTTTTTGCTCATTACGCCACTGGTTACATATAAAATGAAACTAAATCTGAAAGATAAAGTTGAGTTCTAGTCATGCGATTGCATTGTGAAAGAAAAGGTGTGCAATGGATCAGTAAAAGTTGATCATGTAGCATGTAAGTATTGGTGTGTACTGCAAGGTTCTGGAGTCATCAAAATCATATTAAATTTGGCCCAGTCTTGCCAAAGTAACAAGCACTGTACACTGGAAGATGTATATGTGACTACGCGATATCTATCCAGGCCGGATCGATATAATAATTTACCATATATATTAATTAGTAGGCGGTTTCCCGGCAAAATTTGTATCATCACGTATTAGTCATAACATATTCTTTCACATGATTGGTAATAAGAGCTTACATTTCATATTTTGAGATGAGGGCGTTTCCAAAACTGGTATATACCTTTAAATGTCGACAAGTAATTTAAGCTATTAGGATACAAAATATACGCATATCATAAACTAAGAAGAATTTTAAAGGAAGAGAGAAACACACTAAAAGCAGAGCTTGTATTTGACTGTGTGTTTTCCTCAAAAAATAAAAAAAGCAAGGAAGAAAGAAAGAAGAAAAAAATCATACGTATTTGATTAAAAATTACATTAACAAAAATACACACATGTAACTGCTCGGTAGTACGAGTATTCACAGGCATAAGAAAAATACAGTCAAATAGTACATGTGGGGATAGAGGACTATGGAGAAGGAGAGAGAGAGAGAGAGAGGGAGAAGGAGAGAGAGAGAGAGAGAGAGAGAGAGAGGGGGAGAGAGAGAGAGAGAGAGAGAGAGAGAGAGAGATACCGGGGGAGCCTTGGGTAGGGAAATAATCTAAATCATCGAGGACATCAGGTAAACTGCTTCTGCGACAAGACTTTGGGTCAAACAAATTGACCCGCTATATACCTGTAAATCTGAACATCCTCCTAATCACCGGGTAAAGCTTGAGAGAGCAGCTCTTGACGACCTTTCTCCTCCCAACCTTCATCTCAGGCGATGTCTTCTTGCACGAACAGAGGGCCAGCATGCACTCTCCGTAAAGGATCTGAGTTTGGAGAAATGATGCATTCAAGGGGAAGGATGACGGAGGTTTATAATTGAGATGCAAATTTTGTTTATCTGCCCGTATTGAATATTTATGCTTTTACTACAATACCTAGTCTTAGAGGTGTATAATCATAGACCTACTTTTTGTTTGGATGGTCACTTCCTAATTATAATCTTTAAGACAGCAGTGTCAGGAACGTCATCAGACCAACATGAAAGGTTCACACTATGTTCTGATAACGTTGCTCCCTTTCACGAATGATTCTAAATAAATCATTGAAAGAATGAAAAATCAACCATGTTAATTATTGTTTTAAAAATCCATACTTGTTTGTCGTCTATTGAATAGTTCATTTGCATTATATTGGAGTCGGCTATAAATCAGACTTTGAATTAGGTTCGGAATAAATGAAGAAAGTGAAACGGATTCATAAGTAAGTGTAACTAACATCATTAATAAGCTCTCAGTCAACCTTTTCTATTCTTAGCTTTATATCTTTGAGTACAATTAAGTATTAAGCCCGTTTGAATTAAAACTGTGATCATTGTTAATGTTTAGGTTTATTGAGGAAGTGGAAAAGCTAAAGCACGTTGCCGATGTTAGAATAGTCTCCAGGAATTAGGTTTGGAGCATGTTCTTTTTCAACTAATTCATATCGCCGCGATTAACAGGACGTAAATGAACCCTTTTCCTATGGGGACCGGTTGTTCATGTTCTCAGCCAATGGGAATGACAAAACTCAGTAGCCAAAGGTTTAAAGCTCACCATAATGGGCGGGGCAGCAAAACAGGTCACATAGAGCACCTCCTCCGTAAATATATCATCCTCCAAGTAGGGCATCATCAGATTACGATCGTGACACCAAAATCCACGATTGGTCGGACCGGGGAGGTTTTCCGTGAACAGGAGGACGAACCACAGCACGACCACGCCAGCCATGCAGATGTAATCGACCGCGAGGAAACACGGGATGAGCATAGGGTTACGGGACACCATGCGTGGTTCGTCGTCCACCTCGTAAGGATCCATGATGTCGGTAGAGTAGAGACTGCCCAGATTGGAATGATACATAGAAGGCATATTTAGTAACCCCAATATTTTTTCGGGCTTCCATTTCCCTGTTTACTCTTCTAGTAGGCATATCCTAGTATCCTTATAAGTATTGTGTAATAATTTGCCCAGCACGAAATCAATTATGTATGCAAAAATATTTGGAAATTTTTAGAAACCCAATTTATTAACGTATTGTCGTGTTATAGAACAGATTTTGAAAAGTTACTTAAAAATGGGTAAAATATTAACTAAGTTGGGTAATATATAAAATTCCAAAAGTTGGGTAGACATTAATATTATCCTCAGTGCACGTTTTACCTATTGGAGTGTAGATATTCTACATGTTCTTTTCATGCTTATATTATCTCAGACTCATTCATCTAATGCACTCTCTTATACACTGCACTTATTCACACAAAGTATCTTATTTCATAATATCATTATTATTCTAGTCAATTGCCACATGCTCTGATTGTACAATTTAAGCAAAATGAAAACGTATAATTTAGGCATCAAGGAAGTCAAATAAACTCATTTATTCAAACCTCTAACCGCCACTGCATAGTGTGGCGATAGGGAACTCCCTGCCGTAGGACAAAATGAATATTTATACGTGTATATCCATACGATTTCTCCAGTTTCTTCCCTCTTTCTTTCCCGTTCTTAAGCATCATCAGGAACTCTTTTTGTTATAGTAGGGCTTAATCTTTCTTCCCTTAGAGCTTCTGTATTGATGCTTATATAAAATAGTTTTTCATATGTATCTGTGCTTTGTTAAGCTGTACCGTATTATTTTCTAGTTGTTGGACATCTATACCTCGCAAATTGCTTGTAATATTACCTCTTCTTAAATTATCTCTGATTGAATATACATGAATATCAATCATGAATTATTATTTCGAATGATACATGTTGAGTGATCAATCTATTATCTTCATGCATTCAAAAATGATAATGTATGCAGGTCCTACACTCTAAGACGATACCGACGTCATAACTCTTTCAATAGCACACACACAACTCATCCGTTGCCATAGAAACCTGCTATTGTCGAGGGCTGAAGGTAATTTTCTGTAATATTGAAGAACTATTGTTATTACGTTCAAGTACCTGGTAGAAATGCTTCAAGGTTTTGGATATCTTGTCAAGAGCGCAAAAAAATGGTTGCATGACCTTTCTTAGATGTCATACAAGTTTGAGCAGAGGAGGATATTTTGAATGTATGTGTGTATGTATATGTGTGAGCGTGCATGTGTGTTTGTATCATGTTATTTTAAAGTTTTTAAACTGTATAATTTATGTGTAGTTTGTTTTTGCTTTTTAAGGCCCCACCACAAGCAATTTGCTTCTAAGGGTGTCCTTTACCGTATTATGTTTACTATGTTACTCATTTGTATGTACATGTTTCATTTTATGGTTAAATAAACTTTACTTACTTAGAATGCTGTATTTGTGCTCGCGGTTTGTACATGTATAGTAGAAATATTCTTATATGACAATGGGACTATATATTATGACACGTATATTGGAATACATCTCGCTATCTTTTCCGACTATATATAGGCCTTCATAATATATTCCTTGATTAAGTTCCGTGTCATCTGAAAAATTTGATTAGATTTGCACGTAAAATCGATTTGATATTGATAGACCATGACATATATTATGATGCTAAACAATAGGTTATCTATACAAGTCAATATACCAACTGAAAGATCGGTTATACCTTCTGTTTTAGTTAATTCATTTTGGGGTAATTTTTTCTAGAATAAACACAATAAATTCTCAGCCTATGCCGTTTAGTTTTTTCCCTTCATAATATGCTTACTCTCCTCTGTACGCTGTTTCAAGTGATGGATAAAGAAAGAAAGAGAGAGTATAAATTACCTAGTATATTTTCACGTTTAAAAATGGTCTTTATGATTATGACCTATATATCAATGTCATAATTTCAATGATGGCAGTGATGTATCATCATTATTTATTATTCATTCTTCAGATGGCATGGTGAAAAATAGGTAATTATGCTTTTCTTTGTGGTGGCTATCAAAAATTGAAAATTTGTCAGAGTACTATAGTTAATCGGCAGAAATTTTTAATGCATTTTTTCTTCTTGTCTGGCTGACGGCTTGTTGGGCTCTGAAACAAGGAACATAAATCGATGAGGAACACAGATGTAGACTTTGTCTTTTGGAGAATTAATGTTTTATCCATATTCACAGTACATATTTTTAGAATGAGAAGACATGAATATAAAAATGGATAGAGAACATTCATTTAGAATTGAGATCGGATGAGGGAGAGAGAGAGAGAGAGAGAGAGAGATATATAGACAGATAGAGAGAGACGGGGAAAGATAAAGGGTTTTGTGAAAGGAGAGGGGGGGGGGGGGGGGTTAGATGAGGTATGAGTCTTTGGCATCTTTTCTCACCTTCAAAAAACCCTTATCTTTATTTCTCCATTCCTAAATACTATCTCTTCCTATTTAGTACTATATATAAACTTTATGACATTTCTCAAACCACCTCTCCTTCCAACGATGCCCAAGACTTGTATTTCATCTACCACCCACCCTCTTACCCGTCGCTCTCTATCGATCTCTCTCCCCCTCTCCCCCTCATCCGATCCTTGTTTCAAAGCTCAACAAGCCGTCAGCCAGACAAGAAGAAAAAATTGCATTATAAACTTCTGCCGATTAATTATACTAATCTGACAAATTGGCAAAAGTTTCAATTTTTAATAGCCATCACAAAGCCCTAAGGATGGCATAATTACTCGTATTCAGTCCTGACTAATTGCACAGCACGTCAAAGTGCATGGCAAAAGAGCTTGTTGTTTTATAACGCAGTTTATGGCTTGATTACGATGGTGGCAAAACAGCTTAAATGCTTACGTGCTACATAACTCTCCCTTTGTGTCAGATTAATTGCTATGGGAAATGCTTGCAGCTTTCCTATCATTATCTTAATTAATTTTGCACAGCACATTGCATAGCATACGTCCTGGAAAATCCATTGACTGTTTTCGAATGTTTATCGGATGTGTCGACATTGACGGTAACATAAGACAGACATGGAAATAGAAAATAATGGTTTCTAATGAATCGTGGATTACTTGGACGAGGAATTTCAATTACTACCGAACCTTTAAGAAACCGTAAATGTCAACACTAAATTTATCTGGATTGATAAAGGTTAGAAAAAAAGGGAGAAAACACAGACAATATAGAGCTGGTAGAGAAATAGAGCGAGTGTACTAGGAAGGTGGAAAGGGTAGAAATGTGGACACAGAGACATGATGGAGAAAGACAGAGAAACTGGGATGGAAGGAGAGAGAGAGAGAGAGAGAGAGAGAGAGAGAGGATTTTTTTTTTTTTTTTTTTTTTTTTTTTTGGGGGGGGGGGGGGGAATAGAGAATAATAGGAGAGTGATTAAGAAGAGATAAAGAGATAAATAGCATAATATAGAGAGATCGAGGGCGGCTGGGGGACACAGGGACTGATTTTGAAAAGGGGGGGGGGGGGGGGAAAGACACAGAGAGAGTGAATCAAAATGATTGATTGGTTGTGATTATTAAATTATTATTTAATTTTATACACGGTCAAGCTGGTCATTTCCGGTCTTCTACTTGGCAATTATAATGAAGATAAAATCCAATTTGCTATTTAAGTGTGCCTCCCTATAGTCCCTACGCATCCATACGCATACAAATGAAATATTGCTACAGACCTTAGTATTACAAAATATAAGCTTCGTCAGACTGACCATAGGCGAAGTCACACAGACGAGCAAATATTCATCGAGTAGCCTGGTGACATTTTGGAATGACCTGAAAATGGCGGATTATTGGCAAGAATATCTGGCTTTGACATTTACGTAAAAAATCTATAGGCCTGCGATATAAACATGCATTATTTCGCAGGTGTTTCGGAACATTGGATATATTTTCATACCTCTTGGTAAAGAAAAAGCCGCAAGATCGTTTTTTTCCCTTTTTAAATCATTAATAGTTATCACTATTAGATAATATTTATACTGTTTTTCTTCTTTAACGTATGTGCCTTGAGCCTTTGATGTCAAGTGGATTCGGCCCCTTGCAATCTTATTTTTATAATTATAATTATTATCATAATTCTATGTCGAAATTATGAAAATATTAATTATAATAAGATTGAAAAAGATAAGGTTTAGTTTTATCCGAAAAGAACACTTTACGTATAAAAATGAATTGTTAGCAAGGAAGCACAATTTTATTAGCTCATTAGTATTCATAAAGCCCCTTAAAGCTGATTAGAATGAAAGTCAGATAGGTTTTTTACAAATTTTATTACAAAACTTGATACTCAAGTTGAATCACAAACCTACCCTCAATATAATTTAATTGTTTTCAGCGATAAAATAGAAGAAAATCATCTTTATTCACAGAACGAGTTCCATTTCATTATTGATTGTTTGCCATCGGTGATATTTATCGTGAAAAAAAGATCATTTGTTGAAACATATAGAATCAAAATGTATCGATCTTAATTTCCCAAAACTGTCAAACTAAACAGGTGCATAAAAATCACAGATCCCGATCGACGGACAACTCGATTATTTATAGCTCTTATGATGAATCTTTACATTATTGATCTATTCGATTAATTCTGATCTTTATCAAATTAAATCTAGCTACAAATTTTGCTTTTCTTAATAAATGAGGATAAGAGAGGAATCGTTGTGATCGATTTATTTTCTTCATCATAAATTCTTATTCGCTCTTGACTTATCGTCTAATTGTGTCTAACTGATATGTTCTCAAACAGAAAGCTACAAATATCAACAAGGATCTCAAGACATTTTAGAAATCAACCAAAGTGTAAATTCAATATATCATTGCAGTGCTTATCATGCTCGGATTATGTAATACGTTATTGTAGTAATGATAAATAATGATGATAATAATATGTCTTGTTTACCTAGGCATTGATACTGTTTTTTAT